CTTCCATCTATATTAAAGAGAGAAAAGCTCTTCATTCATCCCTTACCCCTCCAATCCTTTCCATGCCAGCTTTACAAAGAGGTATTTTCTAGATTCTTCATCTTTACGGTTTCCTTTTCTTTCAGTCATGCCATACACCCCTGGGTCCCAATCCTGCACTCAGGCTGACAATGAACTTTCTGTTCCTGGGTGTATGCATCTCTGCCTCTCACTCGGGTGATGCCAGCTCAGCCTGGCACTCTGGCAGAGCCCACGAGCTGAGCCATTGATCATCCTGCCTGACATCAATCCTTCTCCCTGAAGTTTGCCTGACTGCTCTGCTGTAGATGGAACGATTGAAGGACACTTCTATTTGGATGTTATTTGCTCTGTGGTTCAAATACGGATTTCTGCTGGTGAGTCTGGATGAGCAAAGACTGGTCCTCAGAGAGGTGGATACTTTCTCGGCAACAAGGTCATCAAAAAAGAAGAAAATCCCAAATTCTTGTAGACATAAATAGATGTTTAAAAAGTGACTGTGACTTTTCTCTAAGCAATATTGAAACCTTTGCAAGTACACAGAACTACAAATATTTCCCATTCCACAACCCCAGCAAAATGCTAATACTTAGATATTTCTCCCGAAAGCACTACACCAATCCGCAGCTTGACACTGCAGCCTGACCACAGGAAGACTGCGAGCTCATGGCCGTGCCTGTACCCTCCATGACTGTCACGCTCCTCTGTGCCCTGAAGTCCCATGGAGACCTTGTCCCTTCCCAGCTGCCCACAGGCTCTGCTTCGACCCCACGCTAACCACCACTTTCCAGCTAAAGGTTGATTACTCCAGGGGACATTTCCATCCAAGCTGTTGCCCGCAGGTTGCAGTCCCTGCCTGAGCGCTATTTTTAGACCAGCTTCTTCGTTGCTATTGATCCCAGTCACCCTCTGTTAATTAGATACACACAACACACACAGCATTTGCAACTCATTTATCAATTCCGTTCAGCACCTCCCTCCCCTGAGATGTAATTTGGAGCCCTCCTTGAATCATGCTATTGAACTTTCCCAGCAACTTTGCTATAGGATTCTCTGTGTTGCAAACTATTTATAGATTATTCTTCTTCTCCTGCTCTCCCTTGGGGAATCAGAAATGGGCAACAGTAATCAGACTTCTATTTTTAAGGAGTTGATCGAAACCAGATATTTCCTCTTTTCTCTTTTTTTCCCCTCCTTCCCCCTGTTGCTGTTATGTACAGCTTCTTTCAGCAGGCGAGACCTTCCTGCTCTGTGTGGTGCTGTACCGATTCTGGTAATGCTCAGGTGATGTGATGCAGAATTTGCCCTGGCTGAAATCTTGTTTGCTGAATTAATGAAATGAATTCCTCCTCCTCTCCGCATCCAAGAGTTTCACAAAGGGCTTTGTGACCTGTTTTGTTTGCTCAGCCTGAGGTGCACCTTTCAGAGGGCTTCAGACTCGCAGACTGCCTTCTCAGCCTGCAGATTTGACCCATTTGCAAGGCACTGGGTTCCCACTGCCCCCTTGTACCTCAGGAAGGGCATCCAACGGCCTTAGACAATGTGTAGTCGGGAGTGAGACAGGTGGAGTTGCTTTTAGGGATGGAGGATGACAGTAATGAGCCCTGGGGTCCTAGGATTTGGGAAAGACCTAAACGAGGGAACATCACCTGAGGCTCAGAGAAATCAGAAGCAGCTCAATGTTCATTGAGTAAGGTTGAAAATCCCAGCTCTAATGCAGGAGGGGGCCTACAGTTAGCACGGGCAGGGTGACACCAGAAGGGACAGCCTTGTCTCAGGGAATACATGAAAGCAGCCCCAAGCTTCCATAGCGGCGCCTGCTGCTGAAAATCTGGTGGGGAAGTGGGAGAGAGGTGTGCCCAGAGGAGCCAGGCAGGGTGCGGGGAGGGGCCCTGGCCTGAAGCCATGTGTTCACAGTGGGCCTGGGGCAGCCGTGGGGCTTGCAGCACCCCCAGCAGTGTGATGGCTCGGGAGTCATGGGGCTGGGCCGTGTGGAAGCAGGGCTGGCTCCTCTGAGCCAGTGGGATATGGCACTGTGTGTGCATGTGTTGTGTGTGGGGATCTATGCGTGTGCCTGTGCTTGGGGAGGCTGTGGTGTGGTTGGGGAAGGGGCTGTGTGGTGTGCATGGGATGGGGGTGGTGTGTGGAGGGCTGTGGTGTGGTCGTGCAGTATATGTGGGGATGGGTTTTGTGTGTGGAGCTTTCATGTGTGTGATGCTGTGGCGTCATTGCTGGGGACTGGGGGGGAGGACTGTAGTATGTGGGGCTGTGTTTGGGGGGCTGTGTGTGTGGAGCTGTGGTATGTGGGGCAGTGTGTGTGTGGAGGCTGTGTGAATGGGGCTGTGGTGCTTGTTATGGGGCTGTGTCTGTGTGTGGGGCCACGGTGTGGAGCTGTG